GTTGGCGTAGACGGTCGGGTGACGGCTCCAGCAGTTGCTGCTTATACTCGACGTTGCCCTTCTCCACCTCGTCGGGTAGGCGCTCGAATCTCTCAAGGGGAGCTGGGGAGGCGTATTCGGCGTGTACCTGGCGGCGCAAAGGCCACCAGACCGACGTCCGCAAGTGTTGCCATGTTGGCAAGAGACGCAACTGCTCGAGCGTGCATCGCAAAACGGCAAAACTACTTTTTCTACAGGGTATCTAATAATACAGGTAGCAATATCAAGGTAGAAACAAAGATTGTCATTATTTTTAAAAGGATATAAGATGTAAGAGGAGCTCACTTTTTATTCCATCTATTTATCGTGACCAACACCTATAGAATGCTTGTCTGCCTGTTGACGAAAGTTTTCTTGTGTGACAGAAGACGAAGACAGACACCACAAGAATCAGCGGAGCTGTGCTAAAATAAAACCGTGGCCAAAACTCCAAGGGCAAGTTTGACGGAAATGACCCTAAAGTTAAACGTGATTTTTAACCGGAATGTTAAAATCAGCTTACATGTTTTCAAGAACAGGAAGTCGCTGGGTCACAATATGATGAAATGTAAGTCATATCGATAGTATCTGCCACCAACAAGATGTCATCACGCGGACGATGAAGAACGTCAAGATCACCAAGAAATGGCACCAAGCCTCCAAGACGATCGAGAAGGTGCCTAATGTAGCGAATACAACCCGATCTGGAACGTTTCCGACTCTGAGTCAGCCTACGACACCTCATGATCACCCGCAGTCAATAGTTTACAACCCCCTTCGCCACCGCCAACACGAACCGCTTTCAATTTACGCAAGAGACGCAGAATAGTACGCCAGCACAGCACCGTGCGAGAGACTGGCATGTCAAAGATAGGTACGCACGGACAGTCAGCAATGTTCTACTTCAAGTAGCAGATAGATTTCTGGTATTTTCAAGGCAAGCAAAGTATTTAGCTTCTGTAATTTCAAATAAAATGGAAGTATTGATTCCACCAGCTAGGCGTTAGCAGGGTAATTTTCATCCAACCAATTTGATACTTGTTTAAGATTCCAGCATGAAAAACATGACAGATGCGCTCGGAGCCCTTTACGAAACTTCGATGTAAACACGTACTTGTGCTGAGTGTGAAGATAAAGTAATGCTTCGAAAAAAGATGGCGAGAAGCTTCATATCGGCGGGTACTTTCTCCGATTTTGAAATCGGGAAAGCGCAATTGCAACCAGCACACGATGTCGACATGGCAATTTTCAATAGCTTCGTCAATTGCGAGCGGTGTACGTGACTCAGGGCAATTCGCGTACAGCCACTTAACAGTGGCAAAGCTGCCATGGTTTGCTGCCTGGCGCATCACTTCTTTATCGCACCCCTCCACCCAACTTGAGTGCAGCCATTGCACGACTTCGAGATGATTGTATTTTGCGGCCCAAATCAGTGCACTTTTGGTGTTCGTTTTTGGGTAATAGATATGAAGCCATTTAAGCACTTTCAGATGTCCATGCTGTGCAGCGGTATTTAGGGATTCGGCGGAGACTTTTTGTTTGACATTGGCTTGGACCCACTTGAGTGTCTCCAAATTGCCACTTCTCGCAGCCCAGTATGTTGCATTATCTTCGCGATACCAATCAATGTCATGTTCACGGTTTGGCTTGTGAATAGTTCCCCTCGCGCGATTCAAAATCATTGGGTCCAAATTATGCAAATAACGAATCATCTTCAAATGTCCATCGCTGATCAGTCGAGATACTACCCAGGCTGGAGTTTTGTACACGCGTCCTTCTGGCCAAAAATGTCGAAGTAGCCATTTCACTGAAGCCAAGTTATTCTTCTTGACAGCTTTCGTCATAGCGACTTCGTATCCATCAGTCCAACCTTGTTCGTAACGAAACTGTATCACGAGAGCATGGTCGTGTTCGGCAGCAATCTTAAGGAGGGAAACACCTTCTTGTGATCTCATTTCGTATGCTTCACCCCCCAGCGGGTGCTTAGCAAACCACTGAAGGATCGGAAGGTCCCCACGCGCACATGCATTGCTCAACGCGATACGCCACCTGTCTAACCAGATATCTTGGCGTTCTGGCAGTGGGGAATGCAGTAGCACAATCTTTTGAATGATCTCCAAAGCACCTTGAGTAGCCAATGTTAGTAGAGCTGACGCAGCAAGCTCATTGCCTCGTGCCATATACCCACCATCCAGTAATAATTCGAGAGCTTTCACGTGTGAACTACCTGTTGCAAAGTCTAACATGCACTGGCCCAGGGGGACTAATGATTGTGCAAGCTTCAAGTCACCAATTTCCAGCGCACACTGAAGAGCGGAGATCCGATCAGCATCACCAAGACCATCCAGACACTGCCGTATCTGGCCATTCTCGACAGCTTTCTGCATTACTTCATATCCCCACTCAATATCGTTTCCACTATTCGTTAATTTTACAGTGCACTTCGTGTGATGTCGTTCAGTTTGGTTTGTTTCTCTATGCTGCCACAAATATTGCAGCACAACGAGAGGCCCTTGGGCTTTAATGCAATCAGCCCGGTCGATAGGGACTGTGCAATTCGAAAATGACCAAACAGCCACTTCACAACGGACAAGTCGCCTCGAGAAGCAGCGGCAATTAGCGAGCTGGCAAACTGCCAGCGATGGTTATGCAGATCGGAACGAAGAAAGTTTACAAGTGACCAATTGCTGGTCCTCTCGGCAGCAGAACTGGGACTCACGCCCAAATCCAGTCGAGAACGTCAATCGACCCAAAGTAACAGGCTTCGTCAAATGGCAAACAGCCTGAAGGACCAAGAAATCTGGAGATAATGTGAGCGCTTTACTCCAGCGCCCACACAGCTGGACATCGATGCAGCGAGAGCTTCACAGCTAGTATTTGGTTGCTATACAAGAAGAAGGAATAAATTACGACAAAAAAATGAGTAGACTCGACGTACAGAAAACGATTTGATGGATCGCCCTCATTGGCAAAAACTGTGAAGGATAGGATGTATTCCTCTATGTCCACAACTACCGAGCACTGCAGCTATTTTCCCGGCTTGTTAGGACTACGATCGAGCACACTCCGTTGCAATGCGCAGTATTTGTCGGATTCATAACGTTTTTCCTTTGCAAATTTTAAGGCCAAAATCCTAAAATCGCTATCTCGCGGCAAGCCGCTTGGGGACGAAAGATCGAAATGATGGCCGTGCCATCCTTTTAATGCACACACAATGTTTTCCGTACATACATACGTTCTTTGTCTTATGACGATAGTCTCGGGTCGATTCCGATAAACATAAGCTTCCAATAAAATCGATGATACCTGTCGATACAAATCAATTTTGAAAAAGTTATAAACTTTGCAATAAATTTTGGCTTAAGAAATCATTTCAGATTCTGCCATTAGATGCTGGTGTTTTTTTGTGTGATCGTTGGAGAGGCGGACAGTACGTTCATGGTGAAACTGGACGAGGGCGTCTCAGTGGGCAAGTTAAAGAAGGCGATTCTAGATGCGCACCCAAAGAGCTTGAAGGACGTTGGCGAGAGGGAGGTGCAACTTTTTGTGGCTAAGACGAGTGATGGAAAGTGGTTGGAAGCTGAGAGCGAGGTCTCAGAGGATGGGAGAATTCCCAACTCGATTCTGGACGTGACTAGAGGGAAAGCTGTAGAGGCGATTTCCCACTAGTCACGTCCAGAATCGAAGACTTTAAAGAACTGGTTATTTACGGAGAACAGAATGGGTCAACCTTCTTCTAATCAAATTCACATTTTGGTGAAGGTGAAGAAAAACCGGCCTTGTGCGCTGAGTCAACGATTTGCGGAGATGAATGACTCCAAGCAGGATGAGCCTTTATCCAAGAAACAGAAGATCCAGAAATACATTACATCCACTAGACCACTGAGGGAAGACGACTACTCCGTTCCTTTGGACACTATCGAGGCTTTTAAACGAATTCGACATGGCTTTTCAGGAAATGATCGTTCAATTTATATGCTATATGGCCCTCATCAATTCGGGAAAAGCACAATTGCTCGTGGAACTGAAAGGCTGTTTGGTGGACATTCGAACATCATATTGGTGTATTTCGAAGTTTCTAAAGAGATGGCACGTAACGCCGTCAGCTTCTGGAGTTACATAGGGAAAATGGCCGACGCGGAAAGCGAGTGTCATGATTCCACTTCGCTGTTGATGTTAGTTACAACGTACGCTGGTCGCGAGAAATCGAAGTTGTGTCTGATCGTTGATGAAATGGATCGTCTGTTCCAGAACCCCGATTTGTTAACCAGCTTCCTGGGACTTCTTCGGATGTGGAAATTTCAATCGCCGAGCGTCTTCGTGGGGTTTC